GATGAAAGAAGATTGTGAAAGGATCCACATGACTCATAATTCAAAATCTCAACCTCCAAACTCCAAAATTCAACGATCTATTGTTGTTGCCTAGCTAAGGGAAGATTAGAAAGAATTAGTGGAAGCAGAAGGAGGAAAGAATGTCTCTGAAGTCCAAAGCCCTTCTTTCTAACTTCTCTCTACTTTTCTTAAGAATTGAACTTATGGTACTTATGTCTTAAGAAAAATCTTATGTACTATTTCTTAAATTAGACCAAGTTAATTCTAACTGAAACTATCTTAGCCAACTTAACTCTTAAGAATCCATTGACCATCAAAGCTCTAAAATAACAATAATTTATCAATTAATCATATAATTAATTAGTAACACTAAAACACAGTGTTATGTTCATATCTTATTTTGAGTTGTTTTACTTTTAATACATAGCAAACCTATATTTTTTTATTGTTTTTTTGTATCTTTCATATTTGTCAATATTTTTTCTCTTCTCTTTCATGTATCACTCATATACAACACTTTCAATAATAATTTTTTTATGTCTCTATCAATATAACACATCACTCATTATTTTTTCTTTCTTATTTTTTTTTATTATATCTTTTTTCTTCTTGCATCATTGATATTTTGTTTATTTATTTTTCCTTTTTGAAGGTTAATATATACTTTTTTTTATTATATTGAGTTTTCAAAATTAATTAACAATTGCTTAAAAAATTAATATGAAAGTGATTTAAGTTATTCTTACACTTTATTAAATAAAATATAATATATATTTTTACCAAAAAAATACTTTAGAAAAAAAAAATAGAAAGAACAATAATTCTACTTAGATGCGTTAAAAAATTAATATAAAAGATGTGTCTAAATAAGCTTTTGTCAAAATAAATAAAATAAAATAAAATCTCTATAAAAAATAATTAAAACCAAAAAATTTACTAAAATTACATTACATAAAGAAATCAGATTTAAAATTAATAAAATATAATATGTTTCAACACATCTTTTAAGTATTATTAATTTTAATAATTTATTTATTTACCCGCATATCATGCGAGATGATATCTAGTTAGGAATTAAAGTAAGTAATCATAATTATTATTATGATTATTGTACTACATTCTTTTCAAGAAACGTTTTTAAGAAAAGCACTGCACCAACATTTTAGTGTTTGTTTACCCATTTTGGATGTACGTCAAAATATGAAAATAAAAAGAGTGGAAAAGAAAAGTTAGCTATTACTTTATTGTTAAAGAAATTGTGTAACTTTTATTTTGTTATCAAATTTTAATTTTTAATAACTAATAAATATATTATTATCAAGGAGTAAAAATGCTAAAGTAAATGTGTATAAGAAAATTGAGTCATAAATATATGCAAATAAGTGTATCAATCAAACACCATAGTATTGAAAGAAGAATTTGTTTAGATAATTTTTTTCATAAATATTTACAGAAAAAAAAATATTTTTTTTAAAAATTAGAAATAACTTATACATAAATTAATTGGTAATTTTTTTCTTATATTAATTTCTTTAAAATTATATTTAAATTTAATAAAGATTTTTTTTTTAATTTTCTTTTCTTAAAACATTTTACCTGAAAAATTTATATGATTTTCAACTTGACCACAGAGTCATGAATAAATATATTACTATACTTCTATAGGAATAAGTTGGGTAAAGAAAATTATATCTCTTTATCAAAATTCAATAAAAAAAAAGATCTTAATAAAAAAAATAGTACCATAGAAATTCTTTTTCCCATCTTAGAAAATAGGAATACAAATGCATTATTAAAGTTTTGGTGAATTAATGGGCCAAATTAATTGTATGTAGATGAGTGAGAATTTTCCTTTCTGAACTCGATTAGGGCAACAAATGAATTTATTTATTTATTATCCATTTGATCTATTTATTAATAAATTCATTTAATTCATGCATTTCAATAAAAGTAAATAATGAATTAAATTTAATTCACCTATTTAAATTTTAAAATGATTAATGATTTATTAATTACTTTTTAACAATTCATTGAATTACAATATTATATGAGATGTTTATTGGATTGATATTTTAAAAAATTATTTTGATATAAAAAAGATAATTTTGTAGATTTTAAAAAACTATATAAGAATGTAATAATTTATAAAAAATAGAAAATAAATAAAATATTTCAAAAATAAAAATTATTTAATTTTAAAATATTATTTTTATGGATGAATTAAATATGCATCTATAAAAAAATTGTTAATGAATAATTTTAATGAACATTTTTCTTTAAATGGATTGAATGAATTTGATTTTTATGTGAATTTTTAATAAATTGAAATGAATTAATAAATTATTTTTATCCAATTTATTATAATAGATCTAAAAAATTATCCAATCCATTTATTTATATTCTTAAATATATGATAATAATTATATTATGATAGGAGCTCAATATTGTATAATAAAACATTTTAATGAAAAGGTGATAATCCATAATAGATGAAAAAGTTCTAATCATACATAATACATTTTCTTGAGGATAAGTTTTAATCATACTTATGATAACATTGGTACAGAAATTGCCACTTTATTAAAGTCACAATATGCTAAATTGTTCATATAGAAAGCTCAAGAAAGGTGTGATGATATATACTTTTTTTTTTAATCTTAGAAAAATTTTCGGCAGCTCTAATCATTTTTAATCCTAATATAAATTTTAATAAGAGTTTTCTTTATTCATTTTAAGATGAGGTTATTTATGTAACACTGTCCTTTTTTTAGTGTTTTAATTAATTATATGATTTGTATGATTAATTGTTGAATTATCATTTTAATGTAGTTTAAAGTTCTAATAATTAAGGTAATGTCTGTTAAAGTTGAGTAAGTCTAGCTTAGAGAAGGATATATAATATTTTTTTTTATGTTGTAAACCTCATAAGTTCATGTTTTAAGAAAACTTAATGAGAGGTTAGTGAGATAAACTTTGTGACCAGAGGAACTTTTTTTTTTCTTTTCTTCTTCTTCTTCTTCTTCTCTAGCTATTCTCTTCTAGTCCCTTCCTTTAACTAGGCAACGAAAGTAGATCTTCATATTCGAAGTTTGGAGGTTGAGAATTCAAGTTATGAGACGTGCAAAGTTCTTTTCTTCCCTTTCTCCTCTTCATGCTTTGGAGCAGTTCGAGGTAAGGAGAGTCTTGTGTATGATTATTGTTGATTTGTGATGAATGAATTTTGTTTTGATGAATGGTTGTTGTTGCTACCTAGAATCATTAGATTGCAGTTAGTATTGGTGGAATTTGAGATGAGAAGTTGCTTTGAGTTGGGTTCACGAAAGGTGTTTTACGTGGAATTTTTGGTGAAATCTTGGTTGCATGTTGCTTGTTTAGTTGATTTTGAGTTGTTTATAGTACATGAATATTGTATTACATGTTGCATGTCGGACTTGTGTTGAGTTTCAGTTGGATTAGGCTGGTCAAATCGAGTTAGGGATTTTTAGTCTCTTGATGTCGGACACAAAATTGGTGGCACCAAGTATAAGAAGAGAGAATTGTCTCTAATTTTATCACATCGAGTGTTAATAAGTTGAAAGATACCAAATGAGAGAAAAAAGAATTTTCTTTGTCTAAATTGATATGTTAATTAGGTGTGGATATTGTCATGTCAAACGTGAGAGAGTAGGAAACTCTCTGCCTTATCTACACTAGGTGTAGAGAGTTTGGTGTCGAGCATGGATGAGAAATCAAGTCCCCTACCTTAATGGCATCGAGCGCGAGTTGCATAATTTTAATGTGATGTTTAAATTGTTCCATAATTGAAAGGTGATGGTTTGATTATATGATGAATGTTGTATGAAGATGGTTCATTATGTATTGAGTTGAGATAATGTATGATGATATTTATGTTGCTAAATTATTAGTTGATAGATAATTAAGTTGTAAAGTTGTATGATGTTATAGTTAATCAAGTTGTTAAACTATTAAACATGTGGTGTAGATACATATTTGTGTTGAGATACATAAAAATTAGAGGAGAGTAAAAATTGTTTGAGAAATTAAATATTTCATTGCGTGAATATAAGTTATGGTACTCTAAACGTTTCTTCTAGATTTTATGTGGAATCGTATGTGAAAAAGGTTGATGCATACATGTATAAATTGACCAATCAAATAAGATATATGATGTTACTTTGATGTAACATAGGGTGTATATATATAACTTGTTGAGGGAATTTTCTTACTTTCAGTATTATGTTTTAAGGTTGTTTTCTTTTAGATTTTATGTTGAATCGTATGTGAAAAAGGTCATTGCATACATGTATAAAGTGACCAATCGAATAAAATACATGATATTATATAACCTGTTGAGGAGATTTTCTTACTTTCTGATTATGTTATTTGCCCAATAAATATGTAGATTACATTAATAACTAAGTAACAGTTGAATGATAACTCTAGGATAGTTGAATATTGTTTGATAATAAATGAATTATTAGTAAATGTAATTGTCAAATCATTATAGTATAACTAAACTATTAATAAGTGTAATGACTTATTAAATTATAATTTTAAAAATAATTAATTTATTATAATTTAACTAAAAATTATTTTTCTAATATTTTGAATTGTAATAAGGTCACCTCTACCACAAAGCTTAAAAGGACAAACAGATGTTTTGAAAGGACTAATATTTTGAATTGTAATAAGTTCACCTCTTTCTGATATTTTTCTAACATTTTGAATTATAATAAATCTTTCTTGATATCATTTAATGATCTAAAACAAACGTTTCACTGAAAAAGAAATGTAAATCTACATGTAAAGAACTAACTACTGAACTAGCAAGGTTGAGCTACTAATTAATAAGAATTAAAGTAACATGTATTAGTTTGTACGTTGAATATGGAAAAAGTTGCACTGACCCGAGCCAATATTAAACCGACCCGAATTTGCTTGTCACGTTTGGAATGTTTCAACGTAGTACTATTCAATACCTTTACCAACTTCTTTATCAGTGTTTTCAATTTATACTTAAGATAATAATACTGTTTCTGCAATTTCCCAACATGGTGATCACCACCGCCACAAATTATGAGTTAGAGACAAGTGATGGTTCTGCTTATTACGATGGTAAAGCTGAACGTATATCTTTTGACGATTCAAAAACTGGAGTGAAGGGCCTTGTGGATTCTGGGGTGTCGAAGATTCCACGCATGTTCTATTCTGGCAAATTGGACCTCACTGAGACCCTACTAAGTGCCTCAAAGATCAGTGTCCCTGTCATAGATCTTCAAGACATGGAAAAAAGTTCATCTCAGCATGCTGAAGTGGTTGGTAAAATTGGAAGTGCATGCAGAAAGTGGGGGTTCTTCCAAGTGGTGAATCATGATGTTGGTGTTGAGGTTTTGGATGAGATGATATCTGGAATACGTAGGTTTCATGAACAAGAGGGTGAGGTGAGGAAAGAGTTTTACTCAAGGGATAGTAATAAGAAAGTTAGGTATTTTTCTAATGGCGGCCTGTTGAGAGATTTGGACCAGCCTGCCAACTGGAGGGATACTGTTTCATTTGTTGCAAATCCTGATCTTCCCAACCCAGAAGAAATACCAGCAGTGTGTAGGTAATTAATGGTTTCTAATTCTGATTTTGACTTTTAATTTTGCACTTGGTGAGGCATGATGGTACAAGGTTCTAAGGACACTAATCCATGGAAACCTAAGTGCTAAATGACAAGAAGAGAAGTACATTTATGAAAGTAATGTCATGTGATAGGAAAATAGGGATAGAGAGAAATGATAAGTGTTAATGAAGTGTTTGATGTGTAGGAGTGTTTATTATTGGAAGTTGAGATTTTTTTAAATGAAAATAAATTATTTTAAAATTTCTTGTAGATTTTTTTTTTACTTGTAAGTTTAATTAATAATTGCTTATGTCTTTACTTTGTAGAGGAAAAAGATATTTATTTTTTAATTAAGTCATAATTATTTGTTTTTGACTTTATCTGGTGAAGGGATTGTTATATATATTAGCATTTAAATATTTTTATTTTCAAAGTGTGCAAAATTTGATTCATAATCAAATTATATCATATTAGTTTTTGTTTTCTTTTGTGTGAAGTTCTTGTTTATAATTTAAGACCTTTATTCGTTACGTATCGTCTTATACCTTAATCTACTAAATTTTTTGTATAATTTATTCATTTCGATACATATTTTGCTCAGTTTATAACTTAATCTAATAACTATTTTTTGTTGAGATACAAATAAGGTCTCACATTGATAAAATAAGAGAACAAATAAAAGTTTATAGAGTATACATACTCCAATGATTGAGAGACCTCTTGGGTGATAATCAAAAGCAAAATTATAAGGACTTAAGCCCAAATCGAACAATATCTTATCGAGTTATGTGTGAAATAATCTTATGAAAATAACAAAGTCATAACTTTATTCTTTTTATATAAATATATCCTCTCAAATAAATACCATAACATAATTCCTAATATTTTTCTGTTCAGTCTTATACATTGTTTTCATTTATGATTTTCTAACAGTTTATATATCATTACTTAGGTTCTAAGTTGCTATTGTGGTTGTGGTTGTGAGGCATGATGGTACAAGGTTCTAAGGACTAATCCATGGAAACCTAAGTGCTAAATGAGAAGAAGAGAAGTATATGTATGATAAGTGATATGATGTGATAGAAAAATAGGAATATATATATGATGTGATAGGAAAATAGGGATAGAGAGGAATGATAAGTGTTAATGAAGTATTTGATGTGTAGGAGTGTTTATTACTAGAAATTGAGATTTTTCTTAATGAAAATAAATTATTTTAAAGTTTCTTGTAGATTTTTTTTTATTTTACTTGTAAGTTTAATTAAATATTGCCTGTCTCTATTATGTAGAGCGAAAAGATATTTATTTTTTAACTTAGTCATAATAATTTGTTTTTAACTTTATCTGACGAAAGGATTGTTATATTAGTATTTAAATACTTTTTTAACATTTTTAAAGTGTGCAAAACTTGATTTATAATAAAATATATCATATTAGTTTTTGTTTCGTTTTGTGTGAGGTTCCTATTTATAATTTAGGATCTTTATTCGTTATGCATCATTTGATAGCTTAATCTACTAAATCTTTTGCATAGTTTATTCAATTCGACACATAGTCTGCTTAGTTTATAGCTTAGTTTGATAACTATTTTTTGTTGGGATATAATAAAGTTGTACATCAATAAAATAAAAGAAAAAATAAAAATTTATAAAATACACATACTCTAAGGATTCCTTTTGAGTGATAATTAAAAACAAAACTTTAAGGATTCATGTTTAAAGTTAAATATCTTATTAATTTATATGTGAAATAATCTTATAAAAATATCGCAACTCTCTCCACTTTATATAAATATATCCTCTCCAACAAATCAAATATCATAATCCGTAACATTTTTCTGATCAGTCTTGTACCCTGTTTTCATTTGACATCTTCTAACAGTTTATATATCATTACTTAGGTTTTAAATTGCTATTGTTGTTGAGGTTGTGAGTCTTGATATTATGGAATTTAGTCAAGGTCACTTGTGATTTCACCTATGGACCCTATAGCATTTGGACATATTTTTTTATTTGATGAAACGCTTATGTATTTGTAGACACATTGTGGCTGAATACTCAAAGAAAATAAGGGCTTTGGGGGTTACAATCTTAGAGTTATTGTCAGAGGCTCTTGGTCTTGATCCTTCTTATCTTAAGAAAATGGACTGCTCTGAGGCACTATTTATTATGGGTCACTACTATCCAGCATGCCCTGAACCCGAATTAACTCTGGGCTCTATAGAGCACACTGATATGGACTTCATGACAATACTTCTCCAAGATCAAATGGGTGGTCTTCAAGTTCTTCATGAGAATCAATGGATTAATGTTCCTCCTCTGCGTGGAGCACTTACTGTTAATATTGGAGATCTTTTACAGGTAATTACTGTAATAGTTAATTTCATGTTTTCTACAGATAACTGGAATTGAGATAGCTTAGAAGTTACTGATTCAATGAAACTATTATAAGATAAATTTTATAAATGTTTATCTTTAAAGTTAGAGTAGCACCTACTGTTTTTTTTTTTTTTTTTGTTGAAATCTTGCCTTAGCTGAGGTGATTTGGAAATTGTAAACTCCTGGTACCGAGTTCGATTTTGATGGATAAAAAAAAAAGGAAGTGATTTGGGAATGTCTGAAGAAGTAAGGCAGAACTATTAAGAAGGATTGAAGACTTGAAGTCAATAATTTATCTACAGGTTATTCAGATTAGCTTACCCCACCTAGCTGGCAAAAAGCTTGGTTGTTGTAGTTTGGCTTTGAATATGTTGAGTGATGCAAATATTGCAGAAAGGTCCACGGTCCAGGCACCAGAGCAAAAAAAAAAAATGAGTGTGAGATTCAACTAGGATTTTCTAGCTGTAAATTATAGCTTGTGGTTAGGAATTCAAATTATCGTTGCACTTTGTTAATGCACGCTTTATGGTCCACAATCACAGCCTGATGCAGTTGTGTTCACTACATTACTTTTATTGATGCTGATTCAATGATTAAGAACAGTTGGATATCCTTATCAAATGTGCTTTTCCCCATATAAAAGAATAACATGATTACAGTTTTCATGGCTGAGATATTCAGTTTTCATGGTTGATATTCTGCCATAGACTTTTGGCATAGATATTATTGAACAACTTTCTTAGACAATTAAAGGTACACATGCTTAATAATCATAATTACATTGTTCTGTTTTGTTTTTGTGGTACTCACTGTCATTACTGTTTCCTATGAAAAGCAAACTGAAAATAGAATGAGACAACTTGAATTATAATGGACATAGGGTTGTCAATTCATGACCTGCAAAATTCAGCAGAAAAGCTTGATGTAAAATGTATTATCCTTAAGGTGTTGCTTTCAAAATGAATGTTAAAAGGGCATGATGCAGCATAAAATAGAAGTGACCTAAACTAAAATATTTAGGACTATCATTATCACACTTTTTTTTTTTTAATATAAAAATTACAATTATAATATTAAAGTTCGAATTTAAGACATTGTGTATATTACCTCAACTTTTGTTATTAGGCCATTTTTAGTGATTTCATACACTCGTTTTATGATTGCATTGATCAATTTCCTTTCTATTGGTGTAGCTTATGACAAATGACATGTTCATCAGTGTTAAACACCGGGTCGTGGCGAGTCATATAGGGCCTAGGATTTCTGTAGGAAGCTTCTTTATGAACTTTACAATGTCCAAGTGTACATCAAAGGTTTATGGTCCAATAAATGAATTGTTATCAGAAGAAAACCCTCCAATCTACAAGGACATTACTATGAAAGATTTCTTGACACATTATTACTCAAAAGGTTCTGATGGCAAGTCTTGCTTGCTGCCTTTCAAGATCTGAATCAAATATACAGAAATAGTTTGGCGCACTCTTTGATTCTCGTGGACAAGGCTTTACTCTTTAATCATAAATAACAAGAGGCATTGAATCTGGTTCTCTGTATCTAGGAATTTTAAAGGACAGAAAAATATTTATACTACCCCAACATATAGTTTCTGTGTACGAGTGTATGGCAATAACTTGATGTATGTATCTTCAGTGTGTCAATGTCATCATATTTTTCATTTTTTCTTTAATGCATAACACATGTTTATTGTTCACTGGAATTCCACATATCATTACCATCTTATTTTTCAAGTGACGCATGAAATCATGACAACTCAAATTCTTGGCAGAAAGATATTGCTAAAATTGTAACTGGGTAAATATGGTCTCATTCTCAAATGATTGCGTATAATCTATTGGAGATTGTGACCTTCTTAGTTTCAAATGAACTTCTTGAAAAGCATTTACAAGTGAAAAAAATAAAGTAAAATATATTAATTTTTTTATTAGTTAAAAATAATTTTTCACTCTGTTTTTCTTAAAACTTTCACGTTTAACTCCTCTATAATTTTTTTTTCTTACAAGTATTTTCTTTTGAGAACAATCCTATTTGAGACAATGTCGAACATTAATTGTGAATATCTCTTCCGGTAGGAATTCAAATCCTAATTTGTAAGGTTGTTAGAGATTTTAACCTTTTTTGTTAGTTTGGACCCTTGTTACTCGTTAGTTCTATATAAGGTTTTGATTTATAAGAAAAGTTCAATTCATTTTTTTTTTAATTCTACATAAGTGTTTGTTCCCTTTTTTGAGTTTTTTTTTTTTTTTTTTTTGTTGTAAATTCGCTTATACAGGTTATAGCATCCCTAATTTATGTCGTTATGACTTACTGAACAAATCTTTTTAGACATGGGCATTGTCATGAAGATCTTAAAGCGATTAAGAGTATTTTTTTTTTATCATTCATAAATTAAAACTAAGAGTAATTATATATATAAGCACTCTCTTATTATTTTTCTTGGTACTTAAAAATAATATTAAATAGAAAATAAATACATTTAATTTTTTTATAAGTTAGAAACATGAAACTGTTCCAGAATTTCTTCCTTTAATAAATAGGAAGATTAATAAAAAGATATTGTAGAATAATTAAAAAATTATTTTAAGGGAAATGATAATAATATATTTTCTAAAGTATACTTTTATTGACTTAAATTTAGATTAGATAGTTTATGTATCGACAGTACAAAAAGGTTTATACCCAACTTTATATAGAATGCTTTTTTTTTTTAAAAAAAATTATCTTAAAAATAATAGATAGGAAATAACACCTCTATAACTATTAAATAATAAGTTAATAACATATTAAAAAATTTATATCAAATACTATATAACAATAATATATCATAAGTTTTGATTAGTTTATAATTTTTTTTATACAAGTATTACATGAAAATCAAACTCTTAAATTTATCAAAATTTACAAAATAACGTGATACCCACTCATTGTTAAATAAAGCTAACACAAATTCTAATAAATTCAAGCAAATAAAAATGTGTTAAAAATATATTAAAAACAAAAGTGAGTTATTAATTCTGTTCAAGAGTAAATGATTAATTTAGTCTAGGATTCAATTTTTAAGCCCATATGCAAGTAGCTGGTCCAAGCTTCTTCAAGCTACAATGATCCAAATAGAGTTACCTGGCCCATATGGGAACATCTCTTCCTACAACTACTACTGCTAATATTGTCAAAGGACATAGCGTTGTGATCACTCATCAAAAGTTTGATTCTGTTGGCAGTTTCCTGGTATGGAACTAGAGTCAGTTAATGACAGAAAAGCTGAAGTTCAAGCGTTTGATGATTCAAAAACGGGTGTAAAAGGTGTCTTAGATTCTGGGGTGACAAAGATTCCACCTATGTTCCATGTAAAATCAGACCCCACTCCAACCTCACCAGCTGACACCAACTTCAGCACATCCCAATTCCCAATCATTGATCTTGTGGACATAAGCAAGAACACAACTCAGCGTGTTGAAGTAGTTGGCCAGATCAGGAGTGCATCTCAGAAGTGGGGTTTTTTCCAAGTGATCAATCATGGCATTCCTGTTGAGGTTTTGGATGAGATGATCAGTGGAATCCGCAGGTTTCATGAGCAAGATGCTGAGGCAAGGAAACCCTTTTACTCCAGAGATAGCACTAAGAAAGTCAGGTACTTTTCTAATGGGAAACTCTTCAGAGAGATGGCTGGTACTTGGAGGGACACACTTGCTTTTTCTGTGAATCCCGATCCTCCAAACCCACAAGATATGCCAGCAGTTTGTAGGTAATGTTTCTAATAAAAGTTTTGGGGCTAGAAAGCCTGCACATCATCCTGCTTCATTGTAGTTTTGGTATTTCCATTTATAGTAGGAAAAACTTAGATGCAGATGTTTAGGTGCTTTCTGTACTTTTCTCTGATCAGAATTAGACTCAGAAATCTGCGTAATAAAGGTCTGCATTAGAGGTTAGCATAGATTATAAACTCTAATTCTGATTGGAGACTAACACCAAAGGTAAGTAACTCTAAGTTTTGTCTTTTAATATATCTGTCTATGCAGAACTCTAGCGGTTGCCCGTTATGTCATTGAGTTATACTAGACTTTGGCCTTTACAGAATTCACTTATTTCACTTCAGTGCATTGGAGTTTTTGGATTCTTAGAAAGCCTGCACATCATCCTGCTTCATTGTAGTTTTGGTATTTCCATTTATAGTAGGAAAAACTTAGATACAGTTTTTTAGGTAATTTTAGTACTTTTCTCTGATTAGAATTAGACTAAATCTGCGTAATAATCAGAGATTAGCATAAGTTATCGAGTAGAAACTCTAATTCTGATTAGAGACTAACACCAAAGATAAGTAACTCTATCTAAGTTTTGTCTTTTAATATATCTGTCTATGCAGAACTCTAGCGGTTGCCCGTTATGTCATTGAGTTATACTAGACTTTGGCCTTTACAGAATTCACTTATTTCACTTCAGTGCATTGGAGTTTTTGGATTCTTAGACCCCAACAGTTACATGAAAATATTAGTTTTAGACATTGAAAAGTTTCACTTTTTCTTTTCTTTTCTTTTTCTTTCAGTTCCGGGTTTCTTAAAACTCAGCAGTCCCTGAATTCCTCAAATATTTGTCTGATATGCAAGCTAGTTCATTGAAGGATGCTAACTTGGAAAGAGTTTTCTCTCCCCCCCAATTATTACCATCTTGAAGCATGTTCTCTATCTTGTATTTATTTGAAGGACTTGGTGTTGAGTTTTAAGAATCCAAGCATAATAGGTATTTATGAGTTATGACATTGATCAAATAAGGAAGTTCAATGCTGTAAATAATTTATGAGATTTTCCTATCCAATAAGTTAGTCTCTTGGATTGGATTCTCCTTGCAATATTGCAATATTAAATTATAACAATTGGTGTATTTGTTGAGAGGTCTCTGACCCTAAAAGGGGCACCTGAAAATGGAAAGGAACGACCAGTGAAAGGGATATTCCCCTTTAAAGGGTATGATATGTTACATTGAGCAATTTATGAGAATCTCCTACCTAATAAATAAGCTAATCTTTGGGTTAGAGTCTTTTCTATTTAGCATTTATGCATCTTTTCTATATACCATATTTGTTAAATGGCATTATTAAGTCAGGATCACTTGGGAATTTGACTTGCATACCCATCAATCTAGGATCTTCATTTTATTCTTACTCGACTAATTGTGTATTTGTAGAGATATTGTGGCTGAATATGCAAAACAAGTAAAAGCATTGGGTATCACAATCTTTGAGCTACTGTCAGAGGCTCTTGGACTTAATCCTTCTTACCTTAAAGAAATGGACTGCGCTGAAGCACTTCATGTTATGGGTCAATACTATCCACAATGCCCTGAACCTGAATTAACTCTGGGTATTTCAAAGCACACTGATTGTACCTTCATAACAATACTTTTGCAAGATCAGATAGGTGGTCTTCAAATTCTTCATGATAATCATTGGGTTAATGTTCCTCCGGTGCAAGGAGCTCTAGTTGTAAACATCGGAGATATTCTACAGGTAATTTCTGAAATTTTCAACTATTTTTTCTACAAAAGATAAATATGTTCTTGAAATATGATTATCAAAGAAGGCTTATAGCCTAGGTTTAGCTAGCTTTAAATAAGTGAAATATCACAGAAGAATGGTTCACAGAAAGAAAATTTGAATGCAAAAGGTTAGTAAAATTATCAATATGTAAACCATGGCATATGGTTTTTCAGTGTTTTAACAGTCAAGCAGCTTCTGTTTCTATGTAGATTCAAGAGTATAGCTTCATAACTATCTGAAATTTGCTTCACCTGCATATAAGAAAACCATAATGACAGTTTAAATAGCAGTGGCTTTCTATGTTATGATCTTTTCAATTTTTATGACACTGATATATTAAACACCTTTCTTAGACAACGAAAGGTTAATATATTAGGGTAGCACTTATACCCATGATTGTTTAATTTGTAAAGCAAAGTATGAATTAGGGTCTATTTACATAAATTTTTCTAGAAGCATTTTTGGGAGTTAAAAATACAAGAAAAAAATGAAAAATAAGCTCTTCTATAAACTAAAATTAGATTATGCATAAGTTACTTTGTAAAAACTTTTTCTTATTAGCTTTTCCAAAATTTTATTTTTTCCTTACGGAGAAGCTTATTTCGATTCTTCTTTTTTATTTGTTTTTTCTTTTAAAAGTGTTTTTTGAGAAGTTTATTTAAATTGACTCTTAGAATAAAATTATACAACTTGAAAATTTATTGGAAATTGGGTTGTCAATCCATGGCTTGCAAAATTCTGCAGCAAAGACACAAGAGAAGAGAGACATTGAATTTTTTTGGCAAAGCCTCTTCATATATATGGAACATATTACATGTATCATTGCTTATATATTTTTATGTTGCACTGCATACATTAAAAATTTGTCTATATAAACATATCGTCTCTCAACATTTCTATTATTTCTGTTATTATTTCCATCATGGCCTAGTAGTTTATCGATAGTCTTAATATCCATTTGCTATAATTTCCTGATGATCTATAATGCTAATTGATTCCATTTCAACATCTACACTTTCTTTCAATTACAGAAATAAAATTTCAGTAAGACACTATGATGCTCTGAAGATGTTAGTTTTAGAAGGAATCATGTCATGAGTCTATTTGAAAAAACTCCTGTAGAAGTGCATCTAAAAGAAAAAAAATGGGAAGGAAAATCAAAATAAGCTTCTCCATAAATTAAAACTGATTTATGTACAAGTTAAAAGTAAGATTTTAGATAAATTAATAAGAAAGAGCTTCTACAAATTCGCTTATATAGAAGTGAATTTTAGCTTATAAAGAAGTTTATTTCATTTTTCCTTCTTATTTTCCTTTTATAGAAATACTTCTTGAGAAGCTTACCCAAAGAAGTCTATAAAGGACATGATTCAACATAAAAGTGAACTGAACTTAAATATTTAGGACTCACCATACCCAATTCTTTTATGATTATATTTATGTTTGTCAATTTTGTGATAATTCATGCAGCTTATGACAAATGACAAGTTCACCAGTGTTTATCACCGGGTCTCGTTGAGGAATATAGGCCCTAGAATTTCTGTAGTAACCTTCTTCTTGAATTTTACCATGTCCGAATGCACATCAAAGAATTATGGTCCAATAAAGGAGTTGTTATCAGAAGAAAATCCTCCAGTCTACAGGGACAACATTACTATGAAAGAAATCTTGACACATTATTATGCAAAAGGTCTTGATGGGAACTCTTACTTGCTGTCTCTAAGGTTGTGAAGCAATCATAAAAGGTATTAGATTGGTGCTTTCTTTATTCTCATGGAGTTGGTTTTAGTCTCATCAATGTATCATAGTTAACCGGTGGCCAGTGCCTTCATCTGTGATTTTCAATGTCTAGAGAAATTTAAATAAACAGTACAAGTTGTAGAGGCAAAATGTTTAGACATATTTAGTTCATTTTACTATGGAAGAGAATAACTTGTTTTCTGTATTATGACAATAGCTTGATACTTAGGTTCTAGTGGTTGTCGATATATTCTTGTATCAACATTCACCAATGAATCTTCATTCGTCACTGTTTCTTTTTTGAGGGCCGCAATCAATACATAAAAACGATGTTTACAGAAAAAAAAATAAAAAATATTTCTTTAAAAATTAGAAATAACTTATACATAAATTAATTTGTAAATTTTTTTCTTATATTACTTTCTTTAAAATTATATTTAAATTTTATAAAGATTTTTTTTTTAATTTTCTTTTCTTAAAACATTTTATCAGAAAAATTTATATGATTTTCAACTTGACCACAGAGTCATGAATAAATATATTACTATACTTCTATATGAATAAGTTGGGTAAAGAAAATTATATCTCTTTATCAAAATTCAATAAAAAAAGATCTTAATAAAAAAAATCTAGTACCATAAAAATTCTTTTTCCCATCTTAGAAAATAGGAATACAAATGCATTATTGAAGTTTTGGTGAATGGGCCAAATTATATGTAGATGAGTGAGAAATTTTCTTTCTGAACTCAACTAGGGCAACGAATAAATTTATTTATTAATTATCCATTTGATCCATTTACTTATAAATTCATTTAATTCATCCACTTTAATAAAAGTAAATAATGAATTGAATCTAATTTATCTATTTAATTTTAAAGATAATTAATGATTTATTAATTACTTTTTTACAATTCATTGAATTACAATATTATATGAGATGTTTATTGGATTGATATTTTAAAAAATTATTTTGATATAAAAAAAATAGTCTTATGAATTTTAAAAAGACTATATAAAAATGTAATAATTTATAAAAAAAATAGAAAAGAATTAAAATATTACAACAATAAAAATTATTTAATTTTAAAAATATTATTTTTATGGATGAATTAAATATCCATCTATAAAAAAATTGTTAATGAATAACTTTAATGAACCTTTTGTTTTAAATGGATTGGATGAGTTTGATTTTTATATGATTTTTTGATAGATCTAAATGAATTAATAATTATTTTTATCCAATTTATTATAATTAGTCTAAAAAATTATCCAATCCATTCATTTATCATTCTTAATATATGATAATTATTATATCATGATAGGAGCTCAATATTGTATAATAAAACATTTTAATGAAAAGGTGATAATCCAAGATTTTCATAATAGATGAAAAAATTCTAATCATACATAATACATTTTCTTGAGGATAAGTTTTAATCATACTTGTGATAACATTGCTACAGGAATTGCCACTTTATTAAAGTCACAATATGCTAAATTGCTCATATAGAAAAGCTCAAGAAAGGTGTGAATGATGATATATATACTTTTTTTTTAGAAAATTTTTTGGTAGCTATAATCATTTTTAATCCTAATACAAATTTTAGGAAGAGCTTTCTTTATTCATTTTAAGATGAGGTTATTTATGTAATACTGTTCCTTTTTTAGTGTTTTAAATAATTATATAATTTGTATGATTAATTGTTGAATTATCATTTTAATGTTGTTTAAAGCTCTAAGAATCAAGGTAATAATATCTGTTAAAGTTGAGTAAGTCTAGCTTAGAGAAGGATATATAATATTTTTCTTAAGTTGTAAACCTCATAAGTTCATGTTTTAAGAAAAGTTAATTAGAGGTTAGTGAGATAAACTTTGGGACCAGAGGAACTTTCTTCTTCTTCTTCTCTAGCTAATCTCTTCTAGTCCCTTCCTTTAACTAGGCAACGATAGTAGATCATCATATTCGAAGTTTGGAGGTTGAGAGTTCAAGTTATGAGACGTGCAAAGTTCTTTTCTTTCTCCTCTTCTTGCTTTGGAGTAGTTCGAGGTAAGGAGAGTCTTGTGTATGGTTAGTGTTCATTTTGATGAATGGTTGTTGTTGCTACCTAGAATCATTGGATTGCAGTCAGTATTGGTTGAATTTGAGATGAGAAGTTTCTTTGAACTACTAGAAAATTGCAAAATAGCGACCGAAATTAGTGATCGAAATTTATCAGTCGCTATTTAGCGACTGATTTAGCGACCGATTATGAAAAATCAAAAGAGCGATCGATTTAGCGACCAAAATAAGTCGTCGCTAGAAAATCGGTCGCTAAATAAGAAATTTTGATTTTTTAGCGACAGAATTAAATTCGGTTTCTATTTCGGTGACTAAATTATAAATTTTGATTTCTTTAGTGACGGAATTAAATTCGGTCTCTATTTCAGTCGCTAAATTATAAATTTTGATTTTTTTTAGCGACGGAATTTAATTCGGTCGCTAAAATAATGGTTAAAATTAGCGACAGAATTGAATTCGGTCGCTAAATAGTAGTTAAATTTAGCGACGAAATTGATTTCGGTCACTATTTCGGTCGCTAAATTATAAATTTTGATTTATTTTAGCGATGGAATTTAATTCGGTCGCTAAAATAATGGTTAAAATTAGCGACAGAATTGAATTCGGTCGCTAAATAGTAGTTAAATTTAGCGACGAAATTGATTTCGGTCACTATTTCGGTCGCTAAATTATAAATTTTGATTTTTTTTTGCGACAGAATTGAATTCGGTCGCTAAATAGTAGTTAAATTTAGCGACGGAATTGATTCTGTCGCTAAGTATTAGTTAAATTTAGCGACGGAATTGAATTCGGTCGCTAAATTAGAAATTTTGATTTTTTAGCGACGGAATTGAATTCGATCGCTAAATAGTAGTTAAAATGAGCGACGAAATTTAATTCAGTCGCTAAATCAGAAATTTTGATTTTTTTAGCGACGGAAATAAATTCGGTCGCTAAATATTAGTTAAAATTAGTGACGGAATTGAATTCGGTCTCTAAATCAGAAATTTTGATTTTTTTAGTGACAGAATTAAATTGAATTGCTAAATATTAGTTACAATTAACGATGTAATTCTATTCGATTGCTAAATATTAGTTAAAATTCAACAAAATTCTATTCGGTAGCTAAATATTAGTTAAAGTTAGCGACGAAATTCTATTCGGTCACTAAGTAAAACTTAAAAAAAATTTATAAATTGCTTAAAAGTGGTGATAATATCAATAAAAAATAAATATTTTCTTTTGAAATATGTAGGGGATTGTTGTACATATATGACATTCCAAAAGAAAATGAGATCCGGAAATATTTTTATTTTGATTACATTAAATTATTTTTAATTAATTAAGGAAACCTTATCCGAAAATGACAGTTTTCACATTTCAAATTCAAATTTGATTATGTCATTAATTAAAATCTTACCGTTACAAATTTGAATTAATTTTCTTTAGGGTGAAGGAGGGTGACATACCGAAGACTGCTTTCAGGACTAGGTATGGTCACTATGAGTATGTTGTGATGTCGTTCGGTGTGACCAACGCCCCCGCAGTATTCATGGACTACATGAACAGGATTTTCCGGCCGTTCTTGGATAAATTCGTAGTGGTGTTTATTGATGATATCTTGATCTATTCACGGACCCTGGAGGAGCATGGAGAGCACTTGAGGACAGTGTTGGAGATTTTGAAAGCGAAGCAGCTGTATGCTAAGCTTTCAAAATGTGAGTTCTGGTTGGATGAGGTGAAGTTCTTGGGCCACGTGATTTTAGCTGAGGGGATTGCTGTTGATCCGGCTAAGGTGGAGTCGGT